ATTTCTCAGACAAAGAAGTAAAAGCAGTAAGTAAATATATGAAAAATTGTTCCACGTCACTGGTCATTCGAGAGATGCAGATGAAAACAACACTGAGATTCCACCTCACCCCACAAAGAGTGGCTGCTATCAAGAAATCAACCAATAACAAATGTTAGTGGAGTTGTGGGGAGAAAGGAAACCTTCTCCATTGTTGCTGGGAGTGCAGACTGGTGCAACCATTATGGAAATCAATATGGAGATACCTCAAAGAACTAGGATTAGAGGTTCCATTTGACCCAGCCATCCCTCTGCTGGGTATCTTTCCAAAAGAATTAAAAGAATCATATCACAGTGATGTATGTGCTCCTATGTTTATAGCGGCACAGTTTGTAATAGCTAAAACTTGGAAACAGCCCATTTGCCCATCAATTGGAGACTGGATAAAGAAGATGTGGTTTTCCTATAAAATGGAATACTACTCAGTCGTAAAGAATGAGAAATTAGATTTATTAATAGGAAAATGGATGCATATTGAGGATATACTCCTAAGTGAAATAAATAAGTCACAGATGTGTAAATACTGAATAGTTTCTCTGGTGTGAAAAACTATAACAGTACATAAAATCCTAATGAGATATTTGATAATGTGAAATAGGAAGAACAGGGCTAAAGGTGTAGGGAAAGTGGGAAGGGTAGGGGAAAGGAAATAAGGGAAAAGGAAAAATATGAGAAAATGAAAAAATGGCAATAAAGTGTTTGTAAGTGGGGAGAGGTGGAGGGGGTGAAGGAAGGGCAGGGACAAGGGGAAAAAATGAGAACCAAGACCTACCTGTAATATAAAGGTACAAGATCCCAATAATGAATGTAACTGTACTGTATACCTAGAATGTACCAATAAACTCAATGAGGAAAAAAAAAAGAGAAGGTTTGAGAATACATCTAGACTTGTTCAAGTGCTGTCCCTTGGGCCATGCGATCAAGCAGATCCATTAGTGGGAGAAGTGGCAGTGTAAGATAGAGATGCTGTTTAGTGCCTTTGTCGCACTCTTATAGGTGAATTATAGCACAGACCCCTCGGATTTTCAAGCAAAGTCTTGGCAGTGTTTTCTGGGTAACTACTCTCCTTTTGAGAAATAGCCTTTGACCTACTCCTGGGAGTTTAAATAGAGACCAATTAGCAGAAAACTAAGTATAGATCGATAAACCATGAGCCATGTAGCCGTAAAGTTGTGTATACACAACAGCACCTCAACATCAAATGAAAACAGATGTGGAGACTCAGCTTGAGTAGTCTCTGAAGGCACAAGTAAGTTACACAAAGAAGCTGCTACAATGCCTGTGGTCAAACCCCAGCTACACTGGCCTCTGTCTCTCTTTCCCAGCCTGTGGCGATAGCTGCATGGAATGTTTCCTGTGATCATTTCATGAGGAAGAGAAGACTTGGGCATGATTTTCAAGTGGTTATGTATGACGTTCCCACACTACTCGGTAGTGGATAGCTGCAGCATACCAGCTACTTTTGTGAATCTTTTCTGAAAAACAGCAGTGAAAGGAAATACTCTCAGTGGCAGAACCTAGATGAATGTACTTGCTTAGTTATTTTGCTTGAAGAAGTGGCCAGAAGTACAAGTCTGCACATATTAATATGGTATGGTCAGTACCTAAGATGGATGATCATGATTGGAAGGAACATGATTAGAATATTGGTGACAAGAAAATCAAGGGATAAAGTGTATGGATGGTCCTCTTTAAATGAGTAAAACAAAAGATATTTGTGTGTCATGTGAATGCTAATCAAACTGCGACCTCAGCAGAGAATTTAATAATGAAGTGGATAGGACCTATTCTCTATCTATCTATCTATCTATCTATCTATCTATCTATCTATCTATCTAAAATCAGTCAGGCTGTTTCATTTGATTACCCTGTCATCACCCATGGGCTTGTGAACAAAGCAGCTTTGTTGGCAGAGATGAAGGTTAAGTATGAACGCAGTAACAATGACTTTTACTCACTAAGGGCAATGTAACTATAGTGCAGCTAAATTCCCATTCTCCTGGATACAGAGACCCACACTGAATCCCCAGTATGGTACCACTCCCCAAGGTTATCAGCCAATTTCCTGTTAGCAGGGTGGTTACTTTGGGCTGCTTCTATCATGGAAGGAACAGGGTTTGATTTCTTACTAAGTTATTCTGGGTATTGATTTGTATACTCTGCACACAGTAGTGCCAAACTTACCATTTATGAACCTACAGAAGGCCTTACCCACCGTCATGGTATTCCACACTGCATTTCTTTGTGGCACACTGTTTATAGCAGTGGACCCATGCTCACGAAATATATTGGTCTCATTATATTCCCCACCATCCTGAAGCAGTTTTCCTGACAGATTGGGTGTGTGGCCTTTTGAAGACTCAATTACAGTACCAGCTTGATAGCAGTATTTTGTTGGGTTGGGACAATATTCTCCAGGGGGTCTATATATGTCCCAAATTAGCTCCCAATAGATGATGCTCTTCTTGCCATAGCCAAGATTCAGAAATCAAGGGTTTAATGCAGGAGTGATAGCACTTACAATTATCCCCTAATTGCCCACTAGCACAAGTTTCACTTTTTGCGAACTTATACTCTCCTGTATCAGCAGCTATTAATGTTGCTTGACACTCAGTGAGTCCTTTCTTCCTGCAAGCTGGAGTTGTCCTTGAAAATCAGCAAGTATGAGATTTTTGGAGGGACCTTGGAGTCTAGAATTGCTACATAATGTGGAACAAATTATTCAGTACAGGTTCTGTGGTAGCTTTTGTTGTTGCAATAAAATATGATTAGGTCAGCTTTAAGGAAGGATTTATTTAGCTCACAGTTGCAGAGGTTTCAATTCATGATCACTTCACCTTGTTGTTTCTAAGCCTGTGAAGAGCAGAACGTCATGGTAGAGGGTTTGGAGGAAGAAAGTTGCTTACCTCAATGCAACCAGGAATGGGGAGGGAAGAAGAGAGGGGGCCGAAGATGTAGTGCCCAAGGGAACGCATCCGTAACCTTTTCCTTTCAACTCTTAAGTTTCCATCTCCCCTCAATAATGGCATCAGATTTTTTTTTTATTGAGTTTATTGGTACATTCTAGGTATACAGTACAGCTAGTTACATTCATTATTGGGATCTTGTACCTTTACATGACAGGTCTTGGTTCTCATTTTTCCCCCATAACACTGCCCTCCCTTGACCCCCTCTTCCCCTCCCCATTTACAAACGCTTTATTTCCATTTTATCATATTTTTTTCTTTTCCCTTATTCCCTTTCCCCTATCCTTCCAACTTTCCCTACACCTTTAACCCTTTTCTTCCTATTTTACAATGTTAATTATCTCATTAGGATTTTATGTGCTATTATAGTTTTTCATGCCAAAGACACTATTTGGTATTTACACATGTGTGACTTATTTATTTCACTTAGGAGTATATCCTCAAGATGTATCCATTTTCCTATGAATGAATCTAATTTCTCATTCTTAATGGCTGAAAAGTATTCCATTTTTATAGAAAAACCACATCTTCTTTATCCAATTTCCAACTGAGCATCAGATCATTAATCTTTCAATGTATTCATCCACTGATGAGATTAGAGCTTTCCCAAAGCACCTCTGTGTTGGAAATGAATCTCTTAGTGCTTGAGGTTTGGTGAACTGTTCCAGATCCAGACCGTAGCAAGTTCCTTACCTGAAAGCTCCTTCTGAAGGTTCATGAGCAGATGCACATAGAGCACTTTACTGCCCAGGACTGGTGCGCATGTCTCTACTGCATTCAGTCACTATCTCTACTACTTAAGGGGCTTTTCTGTGATTATTTGGTTATTTTGCACAGTGCCTTCCACAGTTTACTTCTGAAATTCCTTTTTCTATCTTGCCCTTATTGGCTCTATGCCCTTTAGCATTTTAAACATTATTGTCATTTTTATCATTTTTTCTAAGTTCTGAGAAAATTCTTTAAGCCAGTTTTTAAAATCTCTGATTTGTTTTTATGTTCACTTCCTACTTCAGCAATTTGAATTGAGTAATTGTGTTTTATATCTGAAAGCAAGCTTTTGTTATTTTGGATTGCTTAATTTTCACACAATCTTCCTTTTGAAAATTAAAAATGCTTTTCTACTATAAAGTAATTCTTACTATTTACATGATAAAATAACTTCTGTTAATATTTTGATGGATACTTGTTAGGCTCATTATTACATGATATCTCTCATACGCACACATTGAAAGATCTCATAATGTTATCATCACCTCCTTTATTAATGTAACACACATCAGTAAACATACATATTATAATTTTACAAATAATGCTCTTGTATTTCATTTAAAATATAAGTAGGAGTTTTTAAGGTACTCTTTTTTATAGACACAGCTATAGACATGTGCTGTAATTTTTCAAAATGCTCTTTTTTTCTAATTTTTGGTATTTTTATATGTCCAGCAGTTGTTTTTCCTATTCATTCATATTTACAGGAGGATTTTGTATGCTGTGTTGGAATTTGAGAAGGGTTCTGTCAAAAACATGTTAAGTCCTTGTTCAGATAGTGTCACCACGGTGTATTTGCCATATGAAGTGCCCAGGTGGTCCTGAGCATTAGAGGAGGTGGTTGGTGAGGACACTAAGTGGCAGTGAGAGACCTCATTCTATTCACTTCTCTCTCCATGAGAACAGTGCTGGCAACTAGAGTTTCAAATGGCTACAACCTTTTTCAAGAAGGTGTAGCTCTTCCTGTACCATATCTAATAGGGAACTCTCAAAGTGCTTGGATGCTGAATACTGTTTATTAAATTCTCTTAATTGCATATACCTTAGACCATACCAATAGGCTTTGTGGAGGGAAGGATTCAAACTCATGAACTCAACCTTTTTGAACAGAATGTCTTATGCCATCTTCTGTATTGCTTAATTGGTTGTATTTATCTGTGTGGGGTCTGGGTGTATTACATATTCCACTTTTCCTTTATCTACCAGATATTTCTGTTTCTGTAATAGATGATTCAACACGTGTTCCTCTTGGAAAAAGCAAGGACTACATTAATGCCAGTTATATTAGAATAGTCAATAATAGAGAAGAGCATTTTTATATCGCTACCCAAGGACCACTGTCAGGCACCACAGATGACTTTTGGCAAATGGTTTTTGAAAATAATTCTAATGTTATTGCCATGATAACCAGAGATATAGAAAATGGAATTATCAAATGTCACCATTACTGGCCCATTTCTCTGAAGGAGCCATTGGAATTGAAAGTTTCGCATCTGTCTGGAGAACTACCAGATACTTTCGGATTTCATCGTCCGAATGTTTCAAGTTGTGAAGAAATCTGTAAGTGTTTAAAAGTCTATATTAGATACCTGTTTTACTGCCTAAGTATGTGTTGGGACTAGAAGTTAAGAGCAGGATGGAGCACAGACTAATAAGATGCTTTTAAAAGTAACTTCTTATTTCTCTCTGGTAACAGAAACTAAGATACCATCACCTCTGCTTCTGCTTAATCAAACTTTTTTTATGACACAATAAAAATTTCACAACAAAATAAAATAACAACATTTAATACACTGTGTATCATTATCTTCAAAGTAGTTACTCAGAGGATAAGACATCCACACACACAAAAAAAGATTCTCAATTCAAAAAGAAAGGTAGGTTAAAGGTTAAAGAGAGTGAATATTAGAAGTTGTCTAATCCTGTAACATACTTTGTTAGTTTCTATTAGGTATGTGTTGAATCCTTAAAGTGTTCTAATCACTGCTGTAGGCCCTATTGATACTGAATAGTTAGGCTTTGGTACACTCCCTTACTTGATACTTGAGCTGCTGTATGCATTGCTAATATTGAGATCTATGTGGAATACATGGAGTTTGGGGGAATGTTCATTGGAAGAGGTGATATCTGAATTGAGAATTACCCAAATGAGGAAGACAGAAAAAGAAATAGATGATCCCAGTATAAAATTACATGGTATATCTATATGAATTTAAGTATGACAGGAAATAATGAGAGATAAATTCACACTATAGAAGGTCAGCAAGAACCAGTGAGAACATGAAAAATTTGTTTTTGTTCCTGTAGTTTGAACTCAGGACCTTGCTCTTGTGAGGCAGGTGTGGTGCCACTGTGCCAAATCCCCAGCCTGAGAACATAAAATGTTTTATTTTAGCAAAGAAGTGTGAACTTCACAATAAAAATGTTTGGAGTCATTGAAGAATTTTAGTGAGTGAATAGCATGATCACAGGGTGCCTGGCACTGGGACAGAGAGCACAGTCACACAGGTGCTTTGTGGATAAAATTGGTAGACTTATAAGTGACTTATGATGGTGATTTGAGGAGGGGTTGAAAATTATGCTGTACATTATGCTACCACATGTGACTATTTAAGTTTACAAGTAAGTTATTTAACTTATATTAAATGATAAATTCAGTTTCTCACCTGCACTCACCATATTTCTAGTGGATGCTATATTGGACTGTTCAGCTATTGGACATTTGCTTTACTGTAGAGCATTCTACTGGGAGCAATAGTTTTGAATAATTCACAGATTTCTTTAATAGATTTGGAGAATAGTAATGGAATTTTTTATCTGAGAAGGTGATTAGTTACATTGCTCCAGATTGGATTTAGCAGGTTAATAATAAATGTGTTCAACAGGAGCAAAAAAGAAAAAGGGTGGGGGTAAGAGTTGAATAGGAAGGTTTGGAGTCATCACCAAAGAGGTTGATTGGGACAGATAACAACCAAGAAAAGGGTTGCAAAGCAGTGAACCCATAAATTTGCATCAGCAACAAAATATGCAAATCAGTGATTGTTTTCTTCTGGCATAACTATGGGATCCCTAAGCACAGATTATGGGACTGACCCACAGTGGGATGCTATCTAGTATATGTAGCAAGGTTCAAAAGATCAGAGGAGTCAACATTTTGGTGAGAGAATGACTCAGATCATCAGCTGTGAAGTCATTGCTTAGAGATGTAATTAGAATGAGAGGGCCAATCAATGAGGAATAAATGGAGACTACAAAGGATTGAAGAACCTACTTCGTTACGTTGTTGTGAAGTGAAGCACACTGAGGTGGTAGCATAGGAGCTTCTAGTTGGAAATTGATATTGGAGTTAGAGAAATGGGAAATTTTTAGTAACAGACATTACAGGTGATATAAATCCAAGAGTAGTTGTCATTTTGGAGACTAGAAGAAAGGAGCGGTCTCTCCTGAAAAAGGAATAAAAATATTATGAGGTCACAGAGTCTTTGGGGCTGCTGAGACATGAATTTGCTCCAGAGATGTCAGAATTTGTAGACGGGATAAGGAACCCTCAGTGAATTTTGACAATCGGCTATCTGGTGATCACAATGAGAAGTGGAAGCCAAGGGATGTGATATTTGAAAAGATTCTTGCTTTTCATACAAAGAAGCAATAATGAATTTCAAAAGAGATGGGCAGCAAAGAGTGCCCTCCACTTTTCTGGGCAAAGACTATGGGCATAGTTGTTACTCTTGGAGCACTTAGAGTCCAGTAAGGAAGGAAGGAATACAGCTCAGGTGAGAGGCACAGAGGAAGGATCTGTCTGCAAGGATTTGAGGCCCACAAAGGGTTCATGGCTGGAAAGACTTCACCAGGGGCTCTGTCTTCACAGAATTGGATCAGGGGAGTCAGTGAGGTCTGGGAGGCCAACAATGGCAGGAAGGACTAAACTGCTGATATGTGTGATACGGTGGTGACAGCAGTGCTCCTCCACAAGATTTTCAAGTAGTGTTTTTGTCATTCAACTTCATGCACCAGTGGTTAAAATTTGAGTTTCCTTCTTGGTATGGAAAGTTGTTTTAACTATATCCCTTCCTTCTCATTGCTATTTATAGATCTTGCGTTGGGTTATTTTTGACACTGTCAAGTGTTGTGTACATAGAAAAGGCGAAGTGACTTGAGTTTTCTAGCTTTATGACTTCCGGTAAAAAAACTATTAAATTAATGGAGGATTCTGTAGTAGGATTATTCAGAGAAACACAACCTGCAGCATGTGTATATGTCCATATAGAGAGGCCGGGAAGGAGGCAAAGAGGAAGGGAGAATGAAGTGTAAGGAGCTATCTTCTATGAGTGTGGAGAGTGACCTGTCTGCAGGGACAGGGGGTATGATGGGCTGAGACCCCAGAAAGACTTCAGTTTGAGTTCAGAAAACCACCCACTGGAGGGGGGTGATGGTCCTTTGGGATATGAGGAAAGTCATCTTTCATGACTATTTCAAGAGTGGGGCATAGGCCATTCTAGATCTTAGCCTCCCTGTCCATAGCTCAGGGCCCCTGTCAGGCTCCTGCTTGTTCTCATTAAACTTGTTTTATAATATACGAGATAAGAGAAATTGATGGTTTTAAGTCTTACTCCTAATGTGTGAGCCTGCCTTTTAACTATTTTGAAATCTTGCAACCTTGTGGTGCAGATTTAAGATGATAGATTAGAACTCAGGAGGCCTGCAGTAAATTCCCAGCTCTTAACCAGTGAGCCTCCTGACCTGGCATAAACCTCCCAGTCCCCAGTCCTAATCTCTCAGACGAGCATATAACAGTGCAACCTTACAAGGTGATTCATGTGAGACCCCAGCACAGTACCTGGCATGTGATAGGTGCTCGATTTGTGCAACTAGTTAGCTTTCTTGCTTCCGGTATTGTGTTCTCCTTGATAAAATGGAAAAATTCTCTAAACCTGGCAATTTCCAAAATTCTTATTAACATCACAGTTAGGTTTGCATATTCTCTGAAAGCTCTACATAATACCAGTGTAATATATACTATCTAGCCACTCTTGTTATTATCGCTGTATTAGAAATTGAAATGAGCTAATTTAAGAAATAGGTAACTCTCCAACAGACAGGAGTTGGTCACACTGTGAAACACTTGCAGTTCACTAAGTGGGCAGACCATGGGACTCCTGCCTCCACAGACTCCTTCATAAAGTACGTCCGGTACGCAAGGAAGAGCCACATCACAGGGCCCATGGTTGTGCATTGCAGCGCTGGTGTGGGCCAGACAGGGGTGTTCATATGTGCGGATGTCATGTTCTGTGCCATTGAAAAGAACTGTTTAGTAAGTGTGTTATCTAACAGGGAATCTGGGGCTGTCTGTAAACATGCTTCTTGTAGCAGACTGCTATGTAAATGGAAAGCATGGCATTTGGGATCTCTGGTCCTCAGCTTGCTGCAGATTGCTGGGGTGGTTGTGAGAATTAAGAGTATGATGAATGTAAGTGGCTTAGGACAGTGTCTGGAATATAGCAGATATGCAGGAGATGCAAGTTCCCTTTCATTTTCCTTCCCTCTTTCTTACATTTGGCTTCTAGTGTCTTGCTAGAGAATGTCAGTGATGCAGCCCCGGTGTTAGTGAACAGAAATAACAAGCATGTGAGCCCGGTGAAGAAAACTGGGAGACTTCAGCAATAATGAGATGCCCTTGAGTCTGACCCAGCTTTACCACATGCTTTGCATTTTAGTGACTATGTAAATTGGTCATCCTGAATCAAATCCAGTATTCTTTTTTTGTTATTGTTTTGGTACTGGGGATCAAACTAAGGTCCGTGTGTGTGCAAGGCTGGCGGTGGAAACACTGAGCTAAATCCCTTATAGATAAGGTAAAGAAGAGTGTGTCAAGCATTAACAGTTCTTTACTTGCCTCCTTCTAAGTTTGGAACTTGCTAAAAGGTGGACACACAGGAATCCACTACATGGGGATAACACTGTTTTCTTTTCTATGGACTAAAGTGATTAGGAATGTGACTTCAGATCTGTGGCCAAAAAGAAACTGAAGTTACCCAGCAGAGAGGGCACATTTGAGACATTTGCTCTGGTGGCACATTCTTCAGAGTATGTTTTTGTCAGAACAAGTGCCAAACTTCTGCCTTCATAGCCCCATACAGGAGGCTTGCCTGTAGGCAACAACAACAACAAAAAGAATGCGTGACCCCAGCACTTGTCCTGACAGGACATCAAGTAGAGAGTTGAGAAACTGACTTTTTCTGAAGTTTAGGTCAAACCTCTAGCATTTCCTTCTTCTGATTGACTGTCAGCCCCTTTTCTGATCTAATCCTGATATATGTGCAGGTCTGTCTAGGGAAGTCAGACTTTTTTTTTTTTTGAGAGATGGGATCTTCCAAAGCAAATGTGGAGTATCATTACAAAGAAAGAATATAGACTGTGGCCAAAACGTAGCAGGTTTCCTCAAAACTACTGAAAATTACTCTGAGTACGAATGTGTGGTATCATTACAAAGAAAGAATATAGACTGTGGCCAAAACGTAGCAGGTTTCCTCAAAACTACTGAAAATTACTCTGAGTTTGATATTACTTTATTTCTGTAATATTTTATCCTTTAGCAGAAAATATATTAGCATGTTTCTAGTTTATATCTTATCCATCATAATTTTGTAGGCAATTTATTTATATTTTGTCTTATTTTATATCTCTTATATAGACTGGAAAAGCAGTAAACATTATCTATTATTGAATATAAGGAACACTGCCTACCCCCCATACACATTATAGCTTCTTTAAACTTGTCTTATAATCAGTCTTCTGTCCCTTTATTTGACAGTTTTGGGTGCATCTTTAAATTAAGGATGCTCAGATTTGATGAAATACAGTGATTCAAAAAAGGAAATTTAGGAAATCTATCGTTTATTGCTTATTGACTTTTCATAGAGCTTGAAATGGTTGCTAACTTACATGTTCTTCCTGATGCTCTTCTCCACTCTCCTCAGAGCCTTTACTAGCCAGAACATGTTTAGCAAGTGAACTGTAGAGAATTTGAGAGTAAGCTGTTAGAAACTTACAAAGCCACTCAGGATTTTTCTATGACATCCACAGTGTGATCAGTGGGTAAGGATTTATTTTAGTTCATTTTCTGTTAGGGTAGCTGAATACTCGAGACTGAGTTGTTTATAAAAGAAAGATTTACCATATAAAGGTTTATTTTATCTCTCAGATCTGCAGGCTGCGATGTCCAGGATCCAGCAGCACATCTGGTGAGGGCCTAATTCTGCCTCATCTCACAGTGGAAAGAGGAAGGGAGGCAAGTTCAGGCAGGAGAGAGAACACAAGGGTCAGACTGTTGTTGAACAGACCCGCCCAGTGATGACTAATACAGCCTCACAAGCATTACCCTTTCCTGAGGTGTCTTCGTCTCCATGACCCAGACACCTATCACTAGCAAGACTTGAGAGGAAGCAGTGTGTTGATTTATCTTCTGGTATTCCTTAGTTTGTGCAACTATCTCATACTCTTCTTTCTGGTCATTGCAGCTTTACTACCAGAATATCATACACAGAATTTAAGCTTTAAATTGTACTTGTTGGCAGTGTAACACCTTGTTTCTGTATGCAGTTGAGAACTGGTTGTGTTTGTCAGTAATCAAGCTGAAGGAAAGGAAGAATTCTCATCTTACCACTTTCATCTCATATACTGAAAGAATCATTGTTACAAATATCTATAAATTCATTTAATTGCAGTGATATGTTACTACTTTTATTTGTTTTATAAGTTGGTACCATTCCATCATTAGCCAGATCCAAAATTTATCAAGCTGTAGTGTCATTAGAAAATAACTTTTTTTTTGCCATCTGTTAGCCAAAATTTCCAAGAAAACATTGTGAGAATCATTTTCACCGTTGTCTTAAAAATTTGTGTAATTTTTTAGTCATAGCAATTCAAAGCAGTAATTCCCAAGAAGCCTGTAGAGTGTTAAGGTTATGTGTAAACCCTTGAACACCAGCTTCTTTGGCTTTTAATTTAATATTCTATAAAATAATTATTTTGTCTCTGGATGCTTTTAAAATTATAAATCACAAATACTAATGGTTCCTTTTCTTTGGTAGCTAGTATGTTTTCATAAATAACACAAACATGGTTTTAGCAGTTAACAGTCAATAATGACAATAAAATGCAACCTCTGAGGAATCATAGTTTCCAGTCAAATTAGTTTCAATAGCCAACCACATTCAGAAAGCTATATCTTTTCTTAACCAAGTATTCCGTGAAACTTATTTTGTCATTGGTAAATTAATTTTAAAGGCTAATATAGATTTATTTCTATAATTTATGTAATATTCAGTTCTAATTTTTAAAGCTTCTAAAAAAGCATAAGTTTTTAATTTTGAAGGGGTTCATTTTATCAATTTTTCTTGACCTCATGCTTTTGAGATCAAATCTAAGAGCACTTCACCTAGATCCTAAAGAGTTTTTCATAAAATCTGTGTTATTATTTTCTAAAAATATTAGTTTCATATTTTAGATTTTAGTTAATGGTGCATTTTAAGTTAGTTTATACATAAAATGTGAGGTTTAGGTCAAGTTTCACTTTGTTTTCTGGCGTATAAATTGTCAAACTCTTACAGTACCATTTCTTTTTTTTTCCATTAAGTTTATTGTTACATTTTAGGTATAAAAATACAGTTACATTTATCATTGGGGTCTTGTACCTTTACATGATATATCTTGGTTTTTATTTTTTCCCCATTCCTGTCTACCCTTTACCCCTCCCCTTCCCTATTTTCAGACTTTGTTTCCATTTTTTCCTTTTCTCAGATTTTTTCTTTCCCCTTCTTTCCTTTCTCATACCCCTCCCACTTTCCCTACTTCTTTAGACTTTTTCTTCCTATTTCACATTATTGATTATACATTTCAAACTTTATTTATGCTTTCAGGTTTTCATAGCAGAGAAACTATTTGATATTTACATGTATGTTCTATTTATTTCACTTAAGAGATGGCCTCAGTGTACATCCATTTAGCTATAAATGTCTCTAGTTTCTCCTCCTTTATGGCTGAGTAGTATTCCATTTTATAAACCCCCATCTTTATCTAGTCTTCAGTTGATGGGCACTTGGGATGTTTCCAAGTTTTAGCTATTACAAACTGTGCTGCTATAAACATAGGTGGGCATATATCACTGTGGTATGATTCTTTTAATTCTTTTGGGAAGATACCCAGCAGGGGAATAGCTGAGTCAAATGGGACTTCCAATCCTAGTTGTCCAAGGTATCTCCATATTGATTTCCACAGTGGTTACACTAGTATGCACTCCCACCAACAATGGAGAAGGGTTCCTTTCTTCCCACAACCTTGCCAACATTTGTTATTGGTTGATTTCATGATAGCAGCCATTCATTCTTTCTGGAGTGAGGTGGAATCTCAGCATTGTTCTCAATTGCATATCTTGAATGACCAGTGATGTTGAAAATATTTTCATAAGTTTATTTGTTGCTTTTACTTCTTTGAGAAAGGTATGCCCATTTTTTAATTGAGTCTTTATATTTCAGGGGCCTGATTTTTTAAAAGTTCTTTATATATTCTAGTCCTTTGAGGAACAGCTGATGAAAATATTTTCCCACTTTGTGTAGGTTGTCTCTTACCTCTGTTGGTGATTTCTCTTGCAGTGCAGAAGTTTTTTAATAAGATGAGATCCCAGTTGTTGATTCTTTGTGTGAGTTCCCACGCTACTGAGATTTTGTTCATAAAGTCTTTTCCTATGCCAATGTCTTCAAGAGTTCTACTTATCTTCCAGCAAGTTATCTGTCTGAATATTTAGATCTTTAATCCACTTTCATTTTAGTTTAATGCATGCTGAAAGATAGGGGTCTAGTTTTACTTTTTGGCAAGTTGAAAGCCAGTTTTTTTTTCAGCTTTAATTGAGTTTATTGGTACATTTTAGGGATACAGTACAGTTACATTCATTGTTGGGATCTGTACCTCTACATGATAGGTCTTGGTTCTCATTTTTTCCCCTTGTCCCTGCCCTCCCTTCACCCCCTCCTCCCCTCCCCTTCTAAAAGCACTTTATTTCCATCTTTTCATTATCTCACATTTTTTTCTTTTCCCTTATTACCCTTCACCTACACATCCCACCTTCCCTACACCTTTAGCCCCTTTCTTCCCATTTCACAATGTCAGTAATCTTATTAGGATCTTCTGTATTATTGCAGTTTATTCACACCAGATAAATTATTCGGTATTTACACATATGTGCCATACTTATTTCACTTAGGAGTATATCCTCGATATGTATCCATTTTCCTATGAATGAATCTATTTTCTTGT